ATGCATAAGTTTCTACAGAAGAACAGCTTTCATGAAAAATTGTCTATAAGTATTTGTCTTCTAACTTAGTTTCTTCATTGATTATTCCAATATCTGAGATGAGATTATTCCAAGATAACTCCATAAAAAGAATTCGAATCCAATACCCATCAACAGACAAATAGAAATTCTAATGAAAAATTTTTTTATCGATCCGACATTTCACTAGTCTAATATGAGAATCCGATATTGGCCAAGATGGATCTGAGATTGAACTGAATCCGAGATTGAACGCTGACGTATTAACGTCAATATACAAAGTTAAAGTCAAATAGCTAGAAAAACCTTGTAGTATTTATTCAGGAAAAGATAGAAAAATATACGAATTATATATGAAAATGAAAATAACATTTTTGCAGTTTGAACACCTGTTATTCAATTTCGATCATGATACATTTAACAGAAATTTAATCAGATCAGGTAAAGACTAAATTGCATTGGTAAAAATATGTTTATTCTGTCTTGCGGAATAGTCAGAAATTTTGTGCCATTGAGCAAAAATCACTTGAGCCTCAATAAATCCTTTGGACAAGACACGGACGAGACCATTTATGTCGAAATATTCTTCAGTGAAGAGACAAGTGTCAGCAAACTTTCATCGAAATTTGCCGATTTTTTTCATCCTCCTTGAATATACTCCCCATATAATCACTAAACAATGAGTTTAAACCTCGATTTCACTAGCCATTTAATGCTCTGGACAAACGACTCACAACTGGTGTCTATCAGATCTCTCGGCCCGCAACATGTAGAGTGTAACTAATTAATATGGAAGCAAATCCGATCATGGCGTCTCATCATGAGACTCGTGGCGATCACAAGTTCGAAAATAAAAAGAGGAATGTTAGACAGAAAAGACTACAGATATCGCTGTCTGTAGAAAAGAGAAATCAATCATACAAAGAGTCAACCTATCAGCTACTTAAACAGCCTCAAATCTAACTAAAGTAACAACAAAAGGAATACGATTGCAATATCAGTAACAACAGCCGCTAAGTATGGCTTACAAAAACTGAAAACAGAGAAAGAAACTCTAAAAGTCGAAACCTGGAATGTCCAAATGTTTTGACAATTGGAAAATTAAAACTACCGAGAAACAAGATAAAACGTTTTAGAATCGATGTCATCGGCATCTCAAAATTACTCTGAACAGCAAAATGTAAAATACCAACTAGTGACTTCTTTTCGTCGGAAGAAGACGATAAAAGCAGAAAAGATGTAACGATGCTAGGGAGTCCAATCAATAATACGTTAACAAGAGCGATCAAAAACAGATATAGTGATCGTCACAAGCAATTGAACGCAATTGTTGATACCGATAATCTAAACCGAGAGTCTATCTTTGGCAAATATATATATAGGAAAAGAGACGAACGTCACGAACCAATCATAAAATTTGCAGGAGTATACAATCTATACATCTGTAACACCAAATTTCAACAGAAATCAAATAGAAAGGAAATATAGGCATCACCAGATGACGTACATAAGATCATGATCACAGTTGATATAACATGTAGTCTAAAGAAAAATGCAGCAAAAATAGAAGAAACAGTCAAAAAAGTACTAAAAGCGACCACCACTCTTTGAAAAAGAGCCAAGAAACGTTGAATCTTCGAACGAATCCTAAATATAGAAGACGAAAAATCTATTTGCAGAATACAAGCCTCGGTAACGGTTTCTGATAGCAGGAGCATTAATATAGATGGACTTATGCTTTATGTCTTTCTTCATAACACAAAATCATTACCTTACATATATCAGCGCGTGTTCATCTATATTCAATCAGAGCAATAGGAGAACAAAAAGAAAGGAGATATATATATACTTAGTTGAAGGATACATAGGTATGACAAAAGAAAGGACAAAGTATATCATAAGAAGAATATGACCAAGCGGGAATAATGCATACAATGACAAGAAAGGACAAAATGTAGTAGAAACAATGAGAAGAGAAGGTTAAACATTGTATATGAACAACCGATTTAACGAAGCACTGAGAACAGATAACGATACATACTAAACTTAGATTGGAAGCGTCACACTAACTGTACAGAAATCTTTGCAATAAAGTCAAGAAATTAACGAGGTACGGTAGGAAAACTGAATATAAGAGACATTTGAGGAAATCAAAAAAATCAGAAAATTGGTAATACCAAGCAGGTCTACAGTTTGATGAAAGTGCCGAAAGATGGAATTTGTACCTCGAGTAATTGTAATGAAGAGTTAAGAAGGCTTAAAACCGAAGATAGACACAGTATCCTAAGTCTATACAAAGAGAACCTATGTGAGGATGTAGTGTAGTAAAAGAACTGGGAGGTATAAATCCTTCCTACGAAGACAAATATCATAAAATCCTATACTCTGAAGCAGAGGGAATAGTATGCAGAGTAATAGGGAACAGACATCCCGGTTAAATGAAATCACAGCTGAAAAACTATAAATTGGAGGCAAGCATCTAGTCACATGGTTATAATATTATTTTAGTACGAAATTTTACTTGTTTCGTTCTCAGAGGCTAGATTCGAACTTTTTCAATTAAATACTTTCCTCTTTTCGACTTCTCCGGATCTAAAAACAGGTACACATGAAACTACGTTATAAATTGATCAAGATGGAGATTGTGTAACGCCAACTTGCAAGTACTTTTCCATGCAGAATACTTAAATCGATTTTTCTGGGAAGTACTTAATAGTAATTTTTTATCTTAGACACCCAATGTAGCTTTCTATTAACTACTCGATATAGATGTTGCATGATGCAGCCAACGATAGTTAGAAGGAGATCATCAATGATTGTTTGTTAAGATAGAATAGCTATATTATAACAGAATTCACAAGTAGAATTTCAGTTCTGCTGTCAGAAGTTAAATGTTTTCATGATTAAGATTAGGCTGTTAAACCATCAGCATGCCTTCGTCCATCACGACTGACCTAATAGTACTTTTGTTTACTTGAAATTGCTAGTGGGCTAGTGATAAGTTCTCGATAGTAGTTTTCAATGCAAAGTATGCAATACTACTTTTTCATGAGGCAGCTTAAACTGATTTTAGAAACGCATGATCCTAAATGACTTTCTAGTGCTATCGTAAAAATAAGCTTCTGAAAAGTGCAGAGTACTTCAGAAGACCTGAAAAAAAAATTTGATGGTACATATAGCAATTTCATCCAAAAACAAAGGTTTTTCTTTCCTATGCTTTCATTAAAAACTTAATATTTCCTTTCTTTTTATTATCCGATCAATGTGTAGCATAAATACAACTCTAAATAATAGTTCTTTATTCTTTTTCTTCTTAGCTGCTGATTCGGATGTCTCAATCTTGTGTAGCAATTGAGTGTGGGTGAAAATCCTCATTTCTTTCTTTCACACCCACATTCAGATAGGATTCTTGTTTCTCTAAAAAGCTAATCAGAATTTGTTCCTATCGATAATAGAATAATAAAGATCCTTTTTATCACAATTAAAAGATAGATAGTCATCTTAGAGTACTTATTGTTTTCCTTATTACTTTTGTCGATGTTTTAATCTTTTGGTTTTGTTAGACTGCTATTTCATTCATTTTTCTAAAGCTTGTAATTCCTGGAAAAACATCATCAATAAAATAACACTAAAAACGAAACTATAATGCTATATCGATACTAAGCAGGAAAATAAAGTGCTGAAATCTTGCTGGATTATCAAAGATACTCTTCTATTCTGTGATAGGACGAGAATCAGATTTGAGAAGAAAATGTTTCAATTGTTGTATCAAGAATAGGGTGCATAAATGAAAATATGTCGCATGACTGATTTAATTTATGTAACACTGAGATTTATTCATTTGAGAGTGTCTCTTTTCATTTGATCATTATTTCAAAGATGAATTCAACTCATCTTGATTAAACATTGAATCATGGTTTATTCAAATGAGTATTCTACGTATTTTATGTAAGAATTTGATCATAGGAGTTTCTTTTTCTTTTTAATTGTTCTGGCTATTGATAAAACTTGTTATATAGTTTTAATGATATTAGTTGGTAACAGAGATGGGCAAGTCAGAGGTATTTAAGGTTCAAGTCAAGTCAAGTCATTGAAACGAAAACCCAAGTCAAGTCAAGTCAAAAAATGACTATATATTCTCATCTGACCGTCACTTATCTGAAGTACATGAAAGAATTTCTTTTTCTTTGTTTCTGCGCTCATCGGTACTTTTAGTGTAGAGAAGAATTAATCGCATCAATTGCAAAAATATGTCCATTTTTTTTTACTTGACTTGTGACTTGCCTTTAAAGGCCATAAGTCATCCAAAAATTGAGGTAAAATCTTAACGCCAATTCACCTTAACGCCAATTGTACTTTTCGCCAGTTGGCGAACTTCCTGGGGAAGTTCGCTAGTTTGGCGAATGTCCTGCAGAAATTCACCAATTTTATTGAAATGAATTACAAGTCAACTAAGGTACTTGTGATTTACACCGAGTGATGTGAACTAGCTCAAGTGTATTAACTATGACTAAAATTTAAATTTTTTCTATGTCATACAGAGTTAGTTATTATCCTCTATTATTGACAACGCATAGTATTGAACTAGAATACAACGCCCTCTGTACACTTACTGTTATATAACAGATGTCTCTCATATGACTGTACGTGATTGGTGCCTACATACACACACACAGAGAAGCCTTTCATCTTGTGTCCATTTCCATTTATTTGTTTGCTGATTATCTGAAATTCTAATATGAATATTTAAAATTGTTATTATGGTGCAAACTCGATCAAAATATCGTCAACTTCAAGATAATTCAGCAACAGTAGTATCAGAAGAACCGACACAGGGGTGTGGGTGTGGGTGTGGGTGTGGGTGGTGGGTGTGGCTGTGGCTGTGGCTGTGGCTGTGGGTGTGGGTGTGGTTGAAAATGACACCTACACTCACACCCACACCCATATGTTCAATTAATATTTGAAGGAATTTCAGCTTGACGTTAATTAACAGCAACCGTATCTCCTGTTTGTTGTTTTTTTCAATATATAATTGAAAATCAATAACACGTCAGCAAACCTTGAATTAGATGTTTTAACAGGCCGTAATTTTCGTTCGACTGGTATTGGCATTTTTAATAGTTCATATTGATGTTCTATACCATTTTCATTACTTGCATTCAAATATAAATTATGAAAATATGACTAATCTATTGTCAATAATGTTTCATTACTATTAAGAGTTTTTTGTTGAATAAGTAAATCTTTCGATGAATGCCATCCAGGGGTGGAGCGACCGGAGGGTGTGACACCCCCCCCCCCCCAATCATCAAAAATTTCTGCTTTTTTTACTCAACAAGATCAGTAAATTTTCTTTCATTTGTTACCAAAGATAATATTACACCCCCCAAAAATCGCAAAATTCGTCTTTCTAATCCAAAAAATTTCGCTACACCCCCCAATGTTGGTTGATTCGCGCCAACGCTGATCATCATCAATATGTATATACTGCATCGACAATTGAGCTGATTAAAGCCATTCTCTTTTTTGATTACCTCTATTTTTCCTGATATCATTTTGTATTCTGATTAATTTTCGCCATGCATGATGATACTGCAATGAGACAAAAGTTTAT